ATCTCGACGTATGGTGTTGATACAATCGTCCTTCGAGAAACAGGTAGAAGATGGAAGAGTCGATGTTATAGCTCAATGCTATTGTGGTACAGATCCGGACCATGCAGTAAACGGCACTAAGAAAAACGGCATTCTTCCAGTATCCATTGACTACTCTGGCAATGGCTTGAAAGCTTTTCTCATCTTGTCTTCATACGCAGGGAGATCCTCTATCGGACATCATCATCAGCCCTAGCATTCGTACACGGTCATGTGACATCACGGTTTAATAATTTTGACGCAATAGAAATCCCCCTTCTCATTATTTGAACTGCTCTGTTCTTTATACATTTCCTGTTGGATATTCACCATGTCAAACATGGCAACCGACAGAAGACCCAGCCCTCTAAGGGAGCACACCCCCCCATCCACTATGACAAGCATGACAACTGACCAGAAAGCTGGCCTTCCAAGGGAGCAAATTCCCCCATTCACCATGACAAGCATGGCAACCGACCAGAAAGCTGGCCCTCCAAGGGAACAAATTCCCCCATTCACCCATGACCTGTTCCGCACCATTCACCGAGCAATCATCGAGACGTCGAGATCGACTTCTATCAAAGAGGTTCTGAGATTCAAAGATATTGAGCCGGAGATAGGGAGGCATATTGTTGGTCTTTTGCTGGAAGATTGGGAGATTGATCGCATTCGTCCTAGGTGAGCTAGCTTTATATATATTCTTTCAAGAGGGTTGCTTACATGCTGAAATTGTTTGGGTTAGAGCTCGAATTACTTTTAATGCGTTGACGAAAGTTTTAAAAGTGCGGCTTTAGACAGCCTTTATCCACGATACACACCAGGATTAGATGAAATTTGGACACAGAGACCAAATTTCCTAGACCAAGCCAATACGGACGTCACGATGTCCTGTCTGAAAAGAGTCAGTTTGTGGTTACTATAGCACATTCCAAAAAACGCTTGCCGAGTTAGGATTATCTTGCAGGCTTGAGTTAGCAGATCATACCGACTCTCGGCAAAGAATCGGATACTTGCATTACTGAACTATAATCGACCAGTTTCGCGCAATGTGGTCGTGGAGACTGGTATATGCACGAAGCGAACGTCGAGTTCGGCTTCGTTTGAATGAATCGTTCTTCGATCTTTGCATGAATCTGGAAAGCAAGTCATGACACTCTAGGGGGAGATTATGTGGCAAGGGCAGGACCTTCTCTGTGAGACTTTCTTGCCTTTACGAGGGTGATATTACTGACTGGCCATAGAAATAGAAAGTCAACCGCGACACGGGTTTGCTGAGTCCATTTGCTTGTTTTTGTATCTCTTAAACAAGGAAGCCCAGATCTCATTGGGTTTCTCGATTTCTTAGAGATAAGAAACGTGGCCGAGAAGACATACTCCAATGACGAAGAGTATATCGAAATCCTCGTCTTGTTCAATCAAATGGAACCGGAAAGTCACGTCTGGCAGGCAGCTACGGAGATATCTTCATAATGGTCGCATATGATTTACAAGGCGGCTATAGCTTTCTTCCATTAAACAGCACAGATCCCGCAATGTGTAGCTTACCAGGATTCCATGACGGTCGCTCCAAAGATGCGAGACAAGACGGTGGAAGCGAAAGGATTGCAGAACCCATTTACACGTCTTGCCATCACATTGCTGACGTCTAATACACGGTGAAAGGTACTTTTATCATCATGATACCCCTGCAAGTAATTCCTTGCGAGAACCGAGCCTGGATTTTGTGCTTTCTTAAACCTATTATTTGCATGCAAGATGCGTTATGCCAGCTGGACGACTCTTGAAGAGAACACCACAAGTTATGCTCTCATGAATAAAATCAACATATTCCACCCAGACCAGATGTTCATATACTGCTGTGTACGATACCAGCAGCCATAGCATGGCACTTATTATCCAAACCGGCATGAGGAGTCACAAGTGGCTTAATAGCCGGCTTGACATGAGATAGGCATTCGACTTGACTATCGAGAGAATAAGCAGAGAAGCTTTAACCGTCTGTTTTAATGGTCCCTTTTTTTTTTTTTTTTTTTTTTTTTACCGTGGTCTGACAAAGTCTATGGAGTTATGGACAAGATAGGGAGAAGCGGATTGGCATTTGCATTAAACAGAATCACCAGCATCGCCGCTATGGATTATGCTTATATCGACGAATCACTATAGTCGCATAAAACGACACTACATCTGACCTTACTGTCCACAGTCCATGTGGGTCTCGTACAGATCATTACTATGATCTATGTACACTGCGCGGATTACCAGCTGAAGTGGTTTCCATGATTCACTTGTTCATAATGAGCGTTCCTGATGTTTAGATACGCCCTCCTATTCAGACACGAACTGTATCGTTTACATAATGTAGAGGTCGTCTGCTCCGTTCAGCTTTCCATGGACCTGACAGAATCTCATAGTGTCGGCTTGGGAGAAAAGCTACTGGACAATTCTCGACAGTATTGACTTGAATGAGGTCATGAAAATCGGATGCTACAGGGTTGGGAAGAGCAACCGCCCTGAAGCACATCTCAGGGTCATTTTTCAAGGTCACGACAACCCTTATATATAATCCCTAGAGCCGTGGCTATGTATTTGCAGTATTGTCTATTTGCACATGCGGTCTGAATCTACATGCGGCCGATCTAATTATCATCATTATACCACAGCGCAGTCAATATGCGTACGCGAAATTGAACCATTTCGATCCAGCAACAAGTATCATATCTACAAGAAATATGTATTGTGACGAACGGTGGGTTTGCTAAATAAACTCGGATATGCTGATAGTAAGATCAGAGGAACTTCTCAAGACTTAACTGACACCGGTAGTATGTGCCAATACAGGACATGTTCCAAATAACGAAAGAAGCACAGGAGGTAAGGAGCCAAAGGAATGCACATACAAGTTAACCTTCTGACATCTATCAAGTGCGAAACGACAGATGGCCACCGAGAAATCATCGAGACAAAGACTGTCTGAGGAGGTCACCTCTGGGAACTTCGACTTTTACATCGTAAGGTATCATTTGTTGCTGCGCAATAAAACTAAGTAAAATTTACCACAAGTCAACGAAGAAACGAGTGTAGAAGGAATGATTTCTATGACATCGACAGCCAATATATGACTAGCGTCAGAGGAATTACAAAACAACTAGAAAGAGTACTTCGTGACCTAAACTGAACTGTTCATTCTTCTTCGGGAATGCGCAGAATTGATCATGGGATGCACGATAATCGTCCATTACTGGCAGGGACTCGCCATTAAGAAAGCTAAACTGGTTTATGCGATCCTTTTTCAATGTTGGGAGCTATAGACCTTCTCAATTTCTTTCCTGGAGAAGACTACTCATCCCGTGACGCAGTCTCTAAGAAGACCTTGGAGGCCTTGGAGATCAATTCAAATAATGACATGTACTTCTTTTGCCCATTTCGAAGTTGTACATATCCTGATCGAAATCGCATCTGGGCTGCTCTCACTATATGTGACTGTTCTTGAGCTATTTTCACAAACGAAAAGAATGCAGTATCTTAGATCCTGCTAAATGTACTAGAGACAACTCGATAAACAAGCCGAAGTTCTCGGATGGCCCGTTTCCCATAGGTCGACAGGTGTTCGCTGCTCTTTTTCGTGCTCATTTCTCTCGTTGGATGTGTGGTGGTAAGCACTGGAGGAAAGCCTTTCTCGAGCGAATTTGGGTGAACGAGCGCGAACTGTGGCCCTAGAGGGTCTGAAAAAGTGCCATTTTATATGCAATACAGAGGTGGCCGACTCGCCTACATGGCCGACTCGCTTACCGAATACGCTAGATCACTGCAATGCATCAAGCAGCATGGATCCCTAATGCCTTGATCTGAGTTTCAGGACTAGCAGAGCGCATTAAGGAACAGGAAATTGAATTCATTTCACAAGAGCACCAGCAGATCTTTCCAGCAGCTTGCAGGCTGTTGTCCAGCTTTCCACCAACAGCCCTTCTTCATGGCAACAAAGATGTCTTGGTGGATTCTGAAAAAAGTGCTGGAGTAGCAGATATTTTGAAATCCTTTGGAGTAGACATGATCTTTAGATGTATCAAGGGACAGGGTCATGGATTCAAGGCCAAAGGGCTTATTGATTTGGATTCTGAGACAAATGAGGAGAGGCCTTTCAGCTTGAATCTTAGAAGGATTATTGCTTTCCTGGGAAGTCATGTCTCCATATAACTGTCACGGAGCATGGGCGCTCTCTATCTGTATAGCATGTTTGCTTACTTTGGTCTGTTTGGGGTAGGGTATTCACTGAGTATGAACGCTCGCTAGCTGTATTGCTTTGTCCTGTTTGGAGTAGGGCAACAACCCCTCGCACACACACTAGATAGTCTGTCGCCGGCAGGCCCTACCTGTTTCCTTTCTCTCCTCATGTTAGAATTTCGTCAGATAGTCTACCAATAAGTTCGTATTGCTCGAGACCGTCACAATAACAGAGTGGAATGACAATGCACAAATCTAGATAGCCCACATTGCTAGAACTCAAAGCAAACTCAGACCTTCAACCGCCTGAATGAGATCTGAAATATAGAGATGATTGGAGGTTGGATGCTCCGGTCCCAGCACCTTCTCTCATCCTCGATGTTTCGGCCCCAGCATCTCCTCTGATCTTCTTAATGCTCATCGTTGCATGGCTTCAGCCTCTTCATACTTGCCCTGGCTGCGAAGGACTAAAGCAAGGTTGTTGAC